CGAAACCACGGATGATCGCCCAGCGGTTTCATATATATGTTGAACAGGAGGGGGGAGAGAACCGACCCCTGGGGCACCCCACAAATGACGTGCCTCGGGGTCGATCTCTGCCCTCCAGTCAATACAAACTGCGATCGATCCAACAGGTAGGAGGATAACCACCGTAAAACGGTGCCCCCCACTCTCAACCCCCCGAGTCGTCGCAGTAGGATACCATGGTTGATGGTATCGAAAGCCGCTGAGAGGTCTAATAGGACCAGGACAGAGGAACAGCCCCTATCCCGGGCCTGCCAGAGATCAACGGTGCAAGTGGATTCAGCATCCACTTGCACCTTTTCTTCTGAGTCAACCCCTGTTCCTTAGTTGTTCCCTTCTCCTGGCAGCTCTGCGCATACGCACATCTGGAAGAGGCTTCAGCTGTTCTTCTTCCCCCTTCTTATCTCAGACTCCAAAAGCGGCTGATAAATGTTGGATGACCCTGGCCCCATCTCTGTCTCCCAAAGCAGAACACCCATCAGAGCCTTCTCCAGACTCCACGGCTGGCCCAAGTTCCTTCCCAACCTCCTCACTGTCTAAGCCTGCTGGCAGTTGGCAGGCCACGACTGACTGCTATTGGCCCCATAGGAAGGAAGTGAACCAGAACAATTAGTGTCATCCTTTCCCAATCCCCAATGCCAATCCAGGAAAATACCATGATCAATGGTACTGAAAGCCATCAAGAGATCAGTGACACCCAGAATGGATGTACTATCCCCATCCTACTCCTGACAGAAATAATCCAATTGCACAACCAATATAATTTAAGTGTGAGCTTGAATCCTGACTGAAAGGGTTCCAAATAATCTGTGGAAACTGCTGGGCAGCCAGCTTCTCTACATTGTGCAGTATGGTGGGATCCAGTAATGGCTTTTTGAGGAGGGGGCGGGAAGATGAACCAACACTTCTGTAAGCGATGAAGGAACAACCTCTCATTCAAGTATGAATTCAATACTGCAGGAGCAGGAGAGAGGGAAGGTGTGGAAAGAGAGGAGAGGGAGAGAGCAAGGGGAAGTAGAGAAGAAAGAGAGGGTAGAGGGAAGAAGAAGGCAGGGAGGAGAAGAGGAGAGCTGAAGATGAAATAGACTATAATATGGTGTATGGAAAGCAGAAGAGCAAATAAAAATTGAAGAGGCTTAATGGCAAAAGGAATTGATATATTATTGAATACCCAAAAAATGTTTGTTAAGATGTAAAGGTATACTTTGGATTATATGTATGTTAAAAAAAAACAAAAAAAACTTTTGACAAAAAAAAATACTGCAAGGCCTATTCCCAAGGAGCCATGGTCAACAAGGAAGAGCAAGATGGCTGAACTCACAGTTGTAAGGACCCTTGGGCCCAACAGACTCAAACCGTTCCCAGGCATCTCCACAGAACTTGCACCAACGCTGGAGTCTAACCGGGGACAAATTTGAATGGGCTCAGGTCACCAAGAAAAAGGCTATGGCGCAATAACAGCAAAAGTATTGCGATTTCATTACCACCACAAAGTGGATCCTTATAGCAACTCTCATCTATGCTTGATTGAGTTCGTCCTTTGTTGATATCCAGAAGTAGTCTAGATGTCTCCTCTCCCGTTTCATCTCCCTTGGCATCTCCGTAAACCACAGGGAACGATGAGATCCATTGGAAATGAGAGACTGCATGGTGCAATCCAATATAAGGCTACAGCTGGCCTCTTGTTCTAAACAGCAACTAAAGGCCTTCATGGACATTGCTGTAGATCCTATGGAACACTCTCCAGATCCCTCTGGAACCCTTGTGGGTCCATCAGTCACCATGACTGGACTGATCTAATAAGAACAGCCTCCCTATATTTATATTCTTCTCATATACTCTGATAGAAAAGTCTCCATAATGCATGTTTTTTATTGTTTGTACCTTAACAGAATTGCAGAATGCTTCAAACACACCAACACTTTTAGCACTGAGCTGCAGATTTACAGATCCTTCCATTGTTAATGAGATTCCCTGATGCTGGATTGAATCTTTACTTGTTATGACCACCACTCCAGTGAGAACTTCCTAATTGGGGAAAAATTGAGAACATCATATAGATCAGTTTTGATACTACTACTTACATTTTATATATTATGATAATTTAAGTATATCAATACAATAATTATCCAAGGAAGTACCAGTACACTTAATATGTCAATATACTGCATGAACCTTCTGATTAGTTGGAAGTAGGTAATATTAAGTTGGCTTGCAAAGGTAGTCTTCAGTTTAGATATCTTAGTTTGCATAGAATAGTGGCCAAAATGTGCTAAAGCTTACCAACATTGTATTTTTACAATTAGTAGAGAATTTTGCCTGTGGCATGACTCTATCTAAATCTGATCATGTAGTTTACTCTTCCTTTACTGTATCAGAGTACTTTTATGCAGAAACCTTTTGCATGACATAGTAGATTAATATTAATCCATTTGTTGAGAACAATAATATATGTAAGATTGCAACTTGGAATGCAAGAGGATAAGTGGTAAAGAGCACAAATAAACAAATAAAATGAAAAAATGTTTGTATGTTGGGACTTGATTAGTGAGGATATTTCACCTTTTTATTCAAAAACTCAAGGGGGAATACATAATGTACACTCTATTTTTCACCACAATAACAACGTTGAGGGATATTGGCTGAGAATGCAATAGAATTTAGTCACATCATTCTTATGCAGCACAAGAATATATGTAAATAAAGAGGTCATGCATGTGAGTAAAAGGACAGATTTAATTATGCATGAAAGGAATAAAATTATATAAGACAGTATGAATTGGTGCCAATTATATTGCTATGGATATATATTAAAATAGGAATTCATATGATGTTGACAATTGCTTATTATAATTCAAGGTATGGTGATAATAGGAATTGAGTTGTGTGGAGTCCTCAGAATGAATAAGAATTGTATTATTTGATGCATTTACTTAGAAGTCTTTAAAATAATAGTTTGGCCTTAAAGTTAAGACACCAGGTTAGAATCCAGGGGATAATGAATTCAAGTCCTGCCTTATGCATGAAAGCAAGTTGGGTGACTTTGGGTCAGCCACTCTCTGCAATCTACCTCACAGGGCTATTGAGGGGAAAATGGGAGGAGGAAGGAGTATTAAGTATGTTCAAAGGTGGGGTATAGATAGTTCTCGACTTACAACAATTCATTTAGTGACCATTCAAAGTTACAATAGCACTGAAAAAAGTGACATGACCGTTTTTCAGTCATGATCTTTGCAGCATCCCATGATCATGTGATCAAAATCCAGATGCTTGGCAACTGGTTCATATTTATGACCACTATCCTGTCCCATGGTCATGTGATCCTCTTTTGCTACCTTCTGGCAAGCAAAGTCAATGGAGAAGCCAGATTCACTTAACAACTGGATTATTAATTTATCAACTGCAGTGATTCACTTAACAACTGTGGCAAGAAAGGCCGTAAAATCAGGCAAAGTTTACTTAACAAATGTCTCACTTAACAGAAATTTTGGGCTCAATTGTGGTCATAAGTTGAGGACTTCCTATGTTAATCAATTAAGTTTATCTATGTGTATAGAAGACAAAGGACTGAACAGAAAAGTATGGCTGTTTTGATTCTTTATGATGAAAAATGTAGAAAGTTAGTGGAGGCCACAAGGTTTATGAAAGTTCTAAATAGAGGAAAGATGATTGTCTGGGAGCATTAAAACTGAATCTTTGTTTAAAAATGATATAGTATAAAAAAAGAAAAGTTAAAAACCACAGTGAAAATCATGTGCCTTTAAGAAGAGAAAACATGAGTCCTAGATGGAAATATTTTGGAAGACAGATTAATCGCTCAGAATGAATGGCCAAAAAGAAAGAGAATATAGAAGCTATTTTGAATAGAATGAAAAATAATGTTGCTACAAAATGTCACCAAAGCATTCAGAGATACAACAATGGAAAGTATTAAAGAGGATGCTTGATGGAGTAAAGGTTGTTAATGAGAAAAAATAAGTGCTCATACTTCATAAAATGAGGATGGCACAGGACAGTTTATACTGTGTATTATAAAAAAAAGGAAGATCTCAATAATGGCATAAAAGATCGTAAGGAATGGTTATGATTTAAATAGGCAGATAAAGTATAGAATAATTTTCACAACGAAACAATAAAAATTGTTTTGGAAGAGAGCGAAAAAAATTTAAAACAAGAAACCTTCTGTAGAACTAACATAATGAATATGAAAAAATATTGAAAAATTTGTATGGAAACAATAATAAATCAAAAGAGTTGAAATGAATGCTATAAATGCTATGTATCTAAGAAAATAGATTCTGAATAAGAAGTAATAGATATTGTGAAAATGGCAAACTGTAGACAGAGATGGAATAACTAGAAAATGATCAAATATAGAATGGTTTGCTTATGAAATGGTTGTGCAATGTTGAACATTTATGAGCTTAATGTTTGGAAGAATGTCATTCTTATTTCCCTATTTTAAAAAAGGTAAAATGCATGAATGGCAAAATTGCTAGAGAATTAGTTAAAGCAGGCATATCCAAGTGTTTGGTGATATTTGGATTGAAAAGATATCTGAGGGGACATCATCTAAGAAATGCAATATGGTTTTATGCTAACAGGAACTGTGGCAATGAGATCTATATGAATTTGAGAAAATTGACAGTACAATTCTCGATCAGAAAAGTAAAATATACAATAACATGAATATTCTTGATGATAGAAGGATTTGCATGAATCCTGAACAAGGTAAAAGTGATCGATGTGTGATGGAAATAAAGCATGTAAGGGAATAAATTGAATGTTTAATGACTCATTCAAATTTGAACAAGACTACAAAGATGTCCATTTGGTTGTTCATTGTACATATGAATAAATATTAAAAGAACGCCTGTGAAATTAAAAGTGCATTGGCCACTGACATGAACATGTGTGTACATTTGTGTGAGGACAATGCCTTACTATTGGCCAAGAACAAATACAATTTTTGAAAAATATCACATAGATTATAAAATACACCGAGTGCATACCTGAAAACAAATTAATAAGAGATTATAGTTGTGCTTAATATAAATGATTCAAACATAAATGATTCAACATTTTCAGCAAACTTTAGAATGCAAATGCAATGAAGTGAATAGTTCTGAGAATTAACTATGAAATTCAAATCCATATACTGGATCAAATCTATAGTTTATATATTAACAAACCATGCATAGCATTTCAATGTAAAAGAACTATAAAAACCCAAATAAATAATTTACTCTGAAGTTCTGCTCCTATATTATTCACATATAAAATATAAATTAATATAAAAATTAATATAGTACTGTAAATAATTATCAAGGAAATATTTTGAATTGAAATTTTAGGTTCTTTTGCCAGCCCACAAAGTCTGGGATTCAATAGTTAGAGGCACTAAAGAGGTATCCTTAAGAGAATTTTCTTTATTGGCTTTATTGGGGAGGGAATATATTTTCAAAGATGCTGAACTATATGCAGTATTCATCTTTATACTACATGTAGTAATCTTGTTACATTATTTTAAGAATGCAAATGCAACATGCATTTGATTTACTCACACAATTATCATGGTTAATGAATTTATTAAATATAAAAGTATAATTTATTTAAACAATAATAATTATTTATTTAAAATGTTTATTTTTTTCTAATAAATGGAATTACAAACTTAAAGATTCTAAGAAATCTAAGTATCAATTTTATTGTTTGGATAAGCTTGGAAAAATTAAGTTCAGATCTAATAAACAGTTAATAATCAGTTATTTTCTTTCAGCTTTGTCAAAAGCAGATTCACCAATCCCTAGTTCAGCAACAGAAAAATCCCAAACAAAGCAGGCACTGAATCCTCCTCCTTCCTTTGGTAGAAAGCCCAATGACTGCTGAGGGTAGGAAAGCATCTTCCCCTTGCATTGCAGAATAGTACCACCCTATTTTGCCCTTTAAACAGGGAAAATAGTGCTTCGTGCACTAAGTAAAATGTCTTCTTGCTATAAGTTAATAGAAAATATTTGAGCAAGAATAAAGGAACCCTTCTTTTTATGGCATTTATTTTTTTTAAAAAAACATGATTTTTTAAAAAAAAAATCCAAAGTTTTTTAGACCCTCCCAATTATTATTAGCAATCTCCCCAACTATGTCTTTTTCTTATTTTGTAGGGGTTATGAGTAGTCCGAACCTTCACAACTGCATCTTGGCACAGAGGCAAACATAGCTACTTTCTACCAAGACTCAATGCCAGTGTTTCTCAATCTTGGCAACTTCTAAGATTCGTGGGATTATTCACTGAGGAATCCTGGGCTCTGAAGTTTAGTGTTTCAAGTTGCCAAGGTTGAGAAACGCTGATTTACACAATGGGCTCCAACTCTAATCTTCTAAAATCTTGAACCATTTACATTACCAGGAACAAAGCCTTCAACTCCAATACTCCTAAGTACATGTTTTCCCCCTTTGAACGCAGGAGTTGTTCTCCTGTCTTCCAAAGCCATTGCTGCACTTCATAAATTCAAACACTGACTCTGTAGGAAACAGAGAGCCTATAAAATGTTAGGGTATCCCCAACTTTGTAACTATACCAGAATACTACTAGTTTTAAAAAATGTGAATAACCTAATTCTTACGAAACAGGTGGCAAAGCGGTGTGGTATAAAGTCTCCTTTAGAACGTAGCGAGGTAACATACGGAACTAAACGTCCAGAAAAAAATCCTGCACACAAGATGTCAGAAAGACTTCTCTTTTTTGTTTTCCCCTCATGAACGTGTCCGTTTTGGTCAGGGCGGGCATCTTTTCATTCCTCTCTCTCTCCCAGGAGGATTCCAGAATCATCCGACCGACCGCGATCTCATCCGCTGTTCCAGATGCTGACGCCCAAATCCCACGCCTCCACAAACACACACATATAAGTTTTCGTAGATTTTCACGGGTAGAGGTATGCAGGTCTTGGCGTCGTTTCGAAACGTTTATCTTTGCGACGTTTCGAAACGATATATAGATACTCTCAATCTTACGCGGGAAAAGACCTGAATACGCCAAGACCTGCGTGTGTGCGTGTGTATAAAAAACCCCGACTGGGTGGGGGGGACGAGAGCTGAAAAAACACCTTAAACTCTTAAGCGCCGAAGTCTTCGGAAGTACAATGAGTGAATCCCGAGGAAGATCGCAACCAGATTGCAGCGCTCTTTTCCGCCCAAACAAAAGCTTCCCTAACATCCCAGCGTCTCCACATCGCCAGATTTGTGTAGCAGCACCTGCAGACAATGCTCACCCCGCAGTGGTACACCTTGTTAGCTCGCTTGATCTTGATGTCCAGCGCGGTACCCATCGCGACGACTCCCAACCTCTGGGGCCACTCGGATCATGTGCCTTCCCAACCGGCCCCTTTCCACGTGACTTCAGCCAATTCTTTTTGGGGGGCAGGAAATAGGAGAAGATTGTACGGCTGGAGTCCGTTTTCTCCGATTCCTTTCGCCGCCGCTGACTCCACCCTGTCACAGGGCGGGGCGCACCGACTGTCACATCTGACTCAATGCCGTTGTTCTTAAGGCGCCATTTCTTTTTCAGGCTCAGCTCTCGCCTCCGCTCCGCCTGGGTTTCAGTTACCTAGCAGCAAACCAGAAGAAGAGGTGGAGGATTTTGTGCGCGGGCGCTCTTATCTCCCCTGGAATTGCAACAGGAGAGTCTAAACGGGGAACGCAAGGAGGCCAGCGGGAAAGAAATTAAGGCTGCTATTTTCGCCCCGAAAACCCCTTTGGCAAGGGAACCCTATTTCCCAGCATGCATTGAAAAGGAAGTTAAACCTACCCGATGTGACCCGCATGCGCGATGTAGGTGGTGGTTACGCCCACTTGAATGCCAGCGTTTCGTTTTACTTTTCGATATGTGAGTGGCGGCTGATGTAGGATTTTGTCTGCTAAAAACTGTACTTATTTTTTTAATTAAAAACAAACCTGTGCTACGGTCATTATCATTTGGATTCTAACAGTGGCTATCGAAATAACAATACCGTAGAATATATTTAAAAGCGGGTCTATTGAAAAAAGATTTCTTCGTCAGTAATGGTGGGCAGGGTTGCCCTGTAAGAAGCTATAGATGCAGCCTTATACGGAGTTACCTAGAAGCAACCTTTGCGACGTATGTTACTTCATGCAGGAAGGAACCTAAAGGAAACATTTGTTTTAAAATGCTTTTAAAGGATTTGAGAATATCCCTTTGCGTTTTGTTCTTTCCAGAAATCTGATTGGATTAATTCCTATATTTTATTGTAAGTTTCTGAAAAGACCTTTTCTGGATGATTGACCGAATTGAATTTTAGGCTTTTGCTGTTCTTTGTGCATTTATTCCTAATCCGCTGCTAGCAGCATGTATACAGGTAGTTCTCGAGTTATGTTTGTTTAGTGACCAAAGTTATAACAGGACTGAAAAAGTGATTTATGACCGTTTTTCATACTTGCAACTGTTGCAGTATCCCCATGGTCACGTGATCAAAATTCATATGTTTGGCAGCTGACTCATATTTATGATGGTGGCAGTGTCCTGGGGTTATGTAATCACCATTGGTAATCTCAACAGGTGAAGTCAATGGAGAAGTCAGATTCACTTAACCACCATGTCACTAGCTTAATAACTGCAGTGATTCACTTAACAATTGTAAGAAAGGTCATAAAACGGGACAAAATCCATTTAACAGATGTCTCACTTAGCAACAGAAATTTTGGGCTCAATTGTAGTCATGTCGAGGACTACCTGTGTAACTTTTTAACAGCGATAGAATATATTCTAGCAATATCGAATATAAATTAGAAGACATGTTGGACAGTTCAGTGGGATGAGATGGCTGCTTTAAATTAAATGAATGTTCTAAAATGACACCAGTTTATGTATTGAAAAAAATGACATACCTGAATTCCAAATGTGTTAAGAGAAGATTAGAATAATACATACTCATTAGACAATATATATTTAGTATGTTCTTGAAACATAGTAATTAATCTTGAGTTCAGTAAATATAAGGATGACAGCGCCTTTACCAATCCAGCTTTTACATATAAGAGTGTGTGTGTGTGTGTACATATATATATATATGTGTGTGTGTGTGTTGTATTTGTGCTGATAGATAAATAAAGGGAGACTAGTATAGATCTATTTCAAGCTATTTAGCTCTCATTAGCTAGCCATACCTTACTGGGATTAGAACCTGTGCTGTATTGCATTTTAGGCATATTTATTTATCAGCACAAATACAACACAAATGTAACAAAGGCAACAATAAAAATATTGGGTTTCTGTCTGGATGGTCTCTTGTGACGAGCCGATAGACAGAATGGAAGCAGTAGACTTCCTCCCATATTTGGGCATACCAGGGGTTGTGACCATACATACATACATACATACATACATGTAGGTCTTTGGTTATTCAGGTTTTCTCCCACGTAAAATTGGAAGTGTCTTGGCGACGTCTCGACGAAGTCTCATTCGTCATCTTCAGGCTTGTTTGCTCGGCTTCGTGCTTCCAGGAGCAATGTGAGATCTCGGCTGTTTCTTCCTTTTAACTGCCAGTGGGGGTTTGAGCTGATTGGGTGGGAGCTTTGCTGTGTTCTGATTGAGTGGAGGTGTGTTCTGATTGGTTGGGGTTTGTGTTTCATGTAAGGATTGGAGGAGTTTAAAGTGGCTAATGATGCAGTTGTGGTCTGGCTTCCGGTCCTTGGTCGTGCCTCATCATCAGTGTGGGTTTTAGTCTGCTTTCTGCATGGATGTTTGGTGGTGACATCCTGTGTGCCTCTTGTCAGTGTGGGTCTGGTGTCATTCCTCATGTTAGGGACTCGTTTGTCAATAAAGGCGGGTTTCCAAATGGCTGGTAGGCGGGAGGTATCATCTCATTTGTTCATGCTGTGTGGGCGTTTTTCTATCTTGATGGCTTCACTGATTATTCTGTTGTTAAAATGTTCAGCTTTGGCAATAGTTCTGGTCTTTTTAAAGTCAATTTTATGTCCTGTGGCTTTAAGGTGTTGGACCAGGGAAGAAGTTGGTTCCTCTTTTCTGATTGCGTTTTTGTGTTCTTCAATGCGTGCACTTATTCTTCTGTTGGTTTGTCCAATGTATGTGGTGGTGCAGGTGGTGCATGGGATTTCATATACTCCTTGATTTTCTAACTCAATTTTGTCTTTGGGGTTTCTTAGGATGGTGGATATTTTTTGGTTTGTGCAGAATGCTGTCTTGATGTTGTGTTTGTAGAGGATTTTGCTGATTCTGTCTGTGGTGCCTTTTATGTATGGGAGGAGGGCTTTTCCGTTTTCTTGTTCTCTGTCCTGGATTTTAGGGGGTTTCTTTTTGGATTAGGTTGGTAATCTTATTTCTTTGGAATCCATTGGATGTCAGTACATTAGTGAGAGTGTGTAGTTCGGTTTTTAGGTGTTGTTCATCAGCTAAGCGTTTTGTTCTGGAGATGAGTGTCTTGGCTACGGAGTTGATCTGGGCTGGGTGGTGGTGTGAGAGTGCGTGCAGATAGCGGTTAGTGTGTGTTTTCTTCTGGTAGATGGTGTGTCCTAGGGAGCCATTAGATTTCTTGTAGACTAAGACATCCAGGAAGGGGAGTTGGTTGTTTACTTCTGTTTCCATGGTGAACTGTATTTTGGGGTGTAGGCTGTTGAGGTGTGTAAGGAAGTTGTCCAGTTGTTCTTTCCCATGTGGCCAGATTATGAAAGTGTCGTCTACATATCTGAGCCAGAGTTTGGGTTTGTGATCAGATTTTTCTAGAGCTTGGGTTTCAAAGTTTTCCATGTAGAGGGTGGCAATGACAGGTGAGAGGGGTGATCCCATGGGTGCTCCTTCTATCTGTTTGTATTTTTGTCCATTATAAATGAAGTATGTGTTGGATAGGTGAAGATGACGAATGAGACTTCGTCGAAATGTTGCCAAGACACTTCCAATTTTACGCGGGAGAAAACCCGAATAACCAAAAACCTACATACTAACACCCATGAAAACCTCAGAAAACACACACACACACACACAAACATTATACACACACACACAATTGCTAATGCTGTAAAACAATTTCCTGTCCAATCAGTGCATACTACCATCTCTAAAGGAAGTTATCAGCTAAAAACTCAGAAGACTTAAGTTACAGACCCTATAATAAACCACACAAAATGTATAATAAGATCACAGAAAGGATCTTGCTAGGTCAGCCAAAGATTAGGCATTACAGTGTTTGCCACAGTGGGAATAGATGAGCAAATGATTTGCTTTGAGATCTGGTGTTATTTTTTTTAAAGAAATATATTTGGACAGCAGCCATCTTTGATAGTTTTCTAAGCTACCTTTATCCTATGTATAGTATGTCACTTTCTTATTTTTAGATAGCATTGTTATGGTGAACTAAAAATCTGAGGAACCATGAGGGAGATTTAGAGGGAGATTTTCTGTTCCTGTTTCATACATCATCTGGATACAATGAGTAGGTCATAAATAACAATAGCGTTAAGGTAGCAGGGAAGAAAGGCTACATCCTTGATTTTGCAGGGTATCTTTTTAAGGTATAAATTTGGGCTGCAAAAATTTGGAAGATCATAGAAATTTGCTGCCATCTAGTAGTCTCCTGGATTTTTTCAGTCCAGGTCTGGTAAACTATACTCAAGCCTCCCATTAGTGGCAATCATAAGAAAGAGATAACTTCAAAGTTAGACTTTTGTTTGACACAATAGCCTGAATATTATGTTTTAGTCCTTTAGCCATATAAACATATTGCCCACAGATTTTTCTGTTGTTATAAATGACTGGTAGGGCAGAACATATCCTCACATCAACTTAACTCTCTTCTGTAATAGGAGTAGGGAAAACAGCCTTCTCTTTAGTTCAGCTACGATTATATTTGACTGGTCAGAATGAATTAAATGTGATTAATATTCATTATAGTGTTTAAAACTGAGGATTTTGAAATCATTTAATAAAGATATTGGTCTAAAAGTTTCAGAACAATACATTGGATGCAGATATGTTGCCTAATCTTCCAATCTGAAGTAGTTTAAACTTATGAGACAAAATATTAATTGAATTGTAAAATCCATTAAGAAAACTAATAAAACAAAACTATTATAAAATATATTATAAATTAAAGAAGGGTCTCACCAAAGCAGAATAAACTCGAACTGTTATTGGCTAATAGTTGTCCCATGCACTTCGTTCAAAGGTGGTACTTTTCAAGATGGGTGGCATTATTTAATGAAACATTGACAATTTCCTAGATTCAGCCTTAATTCCTCCATCTGCTGAAGGAGCCAGGTCATATGACTGAGCTTCTGCTATCCAGTACCCTATTCACTTCCTCAGAATTCAAAGGGTGAAATTAAACCCTGACCATCACAAGGCTTTACCTCTGTTATTTTCATAGATCCTGCCAATGGGAAATGTCCACATTTCAAAATAGTTGACCATTCAAGAAGAATTGTATCCTTTGCCTGATAGATAATTAACTCAAGAAACAGCTCTTGCTGACATATTCTTGGTCTTGACAATCTTCATAGCATATTTATGTTGTTGAAAGAAATGTCCTTCTGGGTTCAGTTCCAAGTAGGGAAGAAGACACTGGAGACATGGAGGCTGCTTGGAAAGATGGTTTATTGTTGGACAGGGCCACATGGCTTGA